AACGGTACATATAGCTTTTACCATGGAAGCTTGCTCTATGTCAAATATTGTACAAAAATATTTTTATATTCTCCTATTAGAAGAAATTGGATATATGATAAAAAAACATAATTTAATTGTTCCTAAGTGAAAAGAAAAGTTTTAGCGAGCAATATTATTCGCTTATGATTTGATAAATTTTGTATTAGTTTCTGAAGCCCTTTAGATAAATTAAGGTATACGCGAGTTTACGCAGAAATCGTATTCGTTCTTATTGTTAACGATATATTTTTATTAAATTCATAATACATATAATCTCATTATACGGCTTTCGTATTGTCAAAATAAATAAATAATTAATCTTTTAATATGAGTAAGTACATATAATAAATATAACGTAGTATAATGTGATATTGGTACAAATACTCTTACATAGGATTCAAAGAAATTCATAAAAATTGTTTTTCGTAAAGATACTTTGTTTTGATTTGACCAAATTGACCATAGATGGCTCTGCTCATTTTATTTAATAAAAATGTGTGTTGCTAAATTAATAATGTGAACCAAAACAAATGTCGGTAATCTTCTTCTTCTCGTGTCGATGGCAAGTTTTAAATCAAGTCAGCCCAAAAATTAAGCCACGATCGTTGCTTTATCAGTGGCGTCCATAAGCTAGTGTAAGTTGCAAGTAACAGGGCAAGCAGGGCATGCCAGTAAGTGCCTCATTGTTTGTAATACCACATCTACACTCCAAGCCGCCCGCTGAAAATCCCCACCTGGATAAGTTTTCCTTGGTTCGGCCAACCTGAGTCCGGAGTCTGTTGAGAGACTTCCAGGTCCGCCAAGGCAAACTATGTCCAATTATAATGTCGGTAATTATAGCAGTTCATGACCAGCGGGCTTACGGCGGAACTCAATAACATATATTCGTGCTTTTCTTGATAGACATTTGACATTAGGTCCCTCCTACGTAAAATATGCCAAATTCCTGTTTCAAGTAAGGACAACCACACATAGACAAAATATTGGGATTTACCGTTACAAAGATGGCATTCTACAATCGTTGACGATTACAAATCTAAAAAAAAACTTATAAGTATGGTAATTATGTTTATAATATGACGCAACGTGAAAAATCATATCAATACTTTTTTACCTATGTAATAGAATTTACCTTCTATACAATTACAATCTGCTTGAAGAACTAAATACACATTTCCCTTTTACATAGTTTGCTATTTCCTCTAGTTATTACCATTATGTTTTTACGTTATTTCAAATATTTATACGAAGAAAATAAGACGATTACAATAAAATATTTATAAGTAGGTAGTTCTCTTCTTATTTTTGATGGCTTTGATCTTTAGTCCTTAGCGAAGTTGACCTTATAGAAAGGTTATTTTAACAATAGGGTTTTTGTATCTAGGTATACTCAATTCGCGGCCTCAAAAAGCCTTTATGTAATATTTAATTTAATCTAACGTATTACTTTTATTGAATACTAGCATGGCCCGCGGCTCCGCCCGCGTTCAGATGACCAAAAATCAAACTCTTAGGTTTTACATTTCAGTATACTCTTACAATGCAGTTTTTGTATTTTTTCTCAGAAATGAGACATTTGCCGCGGTAAAAAGTATCCTATATGTTGACCCGGATAACCAGCTATCATCATACCAAATTTCATTAAAATCCCTCCAGTGGTTTTACCGTGATGCGGTAACAGACAGACAGACAAAAATTCTAAAAACTAAAGATACGGTCTCTGTATCGATAATAATGACTATTTCAATAAGATTTTCCAAAAAATATTTAATGTACCGATTCGGCTTAGTTACAATTTTATTATATGTATAGATTATTATATTAAAATATGTATATAAAATGAATTTATATTATATTTAAAATCTATTTTAAAGTAACATTATTAGCGTTTACCCGCAGATCTGTTGTGTAGTTAGTTATGTTTAATTTATGACCTATCATATCTACATAGATGCCCTTCGCATTATAATATTACGGGAGTTCTTAGGAGTGACGATTTTTTCTGCTGAATAAATATCATCATACCAGTTGCTTATTTTTGTAATATATTCATAAATTATATCTTATTACCCTTCTTTCATATAAATTATACGCTATAATTCCTTTTTTTGGTGAAATCCATATGAAAATCATTATAGTAGTTTCTGAAACAAGCCCGAAATGCCGCTAATAAATCGGGAGACATACAAAAAGAACAAAAAAAAAATACGTACAGACGAATAAAGAACCTCCTTCTTTTTAAGTCAGTTAAAAATAGACTAAACCTACACTTTGATTTAAAATATTAATAACTAAAATTATCGTCAGATCTTTTAGTGGTCTAACATTTATTTTAAATCTATGTTTAATGAAATATTTAAAAAAAAACAACATCTAGACTTCATAAAAAACAACTATAAGCTTCGTTTTTATTTAAGTACATTAATTGACCTTTTTCGTTAACATTTTTTTTTCATATTCATTCATAAAACAAATTGTATTAGATGAAGATATTACACTAATCTTCTTATAAATAAAAATGAATGGCTAAATATGTTGCTAAGCTCGAAACTCGAGAACGGCTGGACCAATACGGCAATTTTTTTTTAAATATTCGTAGAAGTTCGGGTAAGGTTCTTATGAAGAGAAAAATTGGAAAAAAATCACGGAAAAATGTAAAAATAACATTTTGTCTTTTTTCTTACTACTACTTTATAATTATTAACGCAACTTTAAAATTAATAAGAACTACTTGAATACATTTGTAGATTTAATACTTTCTCTTTCTACAATATACAGTTTGACTTTGAATTTGTTTGTTTGTCCTTCTTTCACGTTAAAACAGAGTGATAAATTAACGTGATTTTCTGTGTGGAGATAGTTGGAGGTCTGGAAAATGACATAGGCTACTTTATTTTACTTTACTGCGGGAGATTATCTCATCCCCACGGAAAAACACGTTACAATATAACCCATATATATATATATATATATATATATATATTGAACGCGCTAAACTTTGGAACTACTAATCGGATTTGAATAATCTTTCTCATTTGTTAACTCAATTCTTGGCGAAGACTATAAGCTATATATAAAAATAATTTAAACATTAATCTATATATAATATTCTTATAATACGTAACACGTAAATTAATCAACAGTGTTAAAACAACGTTAAAAGCTATCTACTGCTATACCTAAGCAACGTTTTCCAGCTACCTAGCTCGGTCAGATGTTGGTTTAATTAGATTCTACTATCCGTAGAGCAGCGAACATAACTTTGAGGAAGCTCTTGGTAAAATTCGATTTCTACTGATAATTTCATAGGAAGTAGGTATAACATGTGAAGGATGCTAGATAATGTTATTAAGATTCATTCACGTGTAGATCATATTAGTATATTCGTATGAGGTACAATAATATTCAACAAATGATTTGTTTGGTTTATTAAATTAAAAATTATACTTAATGCATTCTTAGATTTACGCGAATATTTGACATAAAAACTCCCTTTTCGGATTTTCTCACGGACCATGATTACTGTAAAGGATTCGAAACGTCGGGAACCAAAAATTAAAATAAGTCCGCCAAAATGTTTGAAAAGATAGTTTTTATTTAAACTTATTTATCGACGAGTACGAATAATAAGGGCCTTTTCTGTGCATTTTGGTAGAGAAAACCAAAAAGTCGGTTATAAATATTGTTGGTATTTGTCAAATGTTGATTTTTAGGGTTCCATATCTGAAGGTTGCCAACGGAACCCTATTACTAAGTCTACGCTGTCAGCCGTCCGTCTGTCAGAGGACTGTATCTCATGAACCGTCATAAGTAGAATGTTCAAATTTTCACAGAGTGTGTATTTCTATTGCAACTATAACAACAAATAATAAAACACCAAGATGGCGAATTTCAAAAAAAGCTGCCATTCAAATTTTTTTAAATCGATTATTTTATTAAAATCGATTATACTTGACGGCTTGATCGATTTCTGTTGAACTATAAAGGAACTTTTTTGTTGTCTCTGACAGATGTTTATGCTCTTATCCTTATTTGGTTAAATCAAACTACGGTGTTCTAGTCACCGCCATATTATCATATTGGATTAAAACCCAGCGAAATTGTATGAAGTTTTCTTTATCGGTCTCATAGAGGGAAGTGTATGAAAAAGAAATATTAAAATATCCCTTTATAAATGTATAATATTTTTTTTCTATTTGCATTTATAGGAATATATTTTTACTTAGATTACTGAAACGATTAAAAAAAAACTTTCTTCTACATACTCGTACATAAAATACACACACTATGTTAATGTTATAAATTTAAGATTTTTCACGATATAAAAAGATATTACAAGTGCCTATATGATAAGACATAACACAACAGGAGGTGTTAATTGTTCACGCGTGTACATAAATCATAATATTATTCTATTTCCACAAAAATGTAATCAACGAGAACACCTGTCCCACACGAGCACGGTTGTTAGAATAGCTATATTTCGTAAGTTGTCTACAAGTTTGATTCTCGGTCAATATAAAATACTACCTTTGTCAATTTATTGTAGAGAATAAAATTTTGTGTGAAAAGTGTCAAGCAAATTATAGAAAAATTATGTTTATGAGTTTATTCAAAAATCCTTATCCTTATAGCTGAATTCAAATAATTTTTAGTTTGGAGTATTTTGTAAATATTTTAATATATAAAATTGATATTAATCCATGGCGAGGATCCACAAGGGGGAAAGTAAAATATATTTTTAAAACTCGAAAACGGTGAATGAACAAGAAAAATAATTCAAACAATGCTGTAAAGATTGAATTTTTTTAAATAGCTAATAGTAGGTAAAAGCTAAATTTTAACATATGGCTGACATTATAAGATTTATTTATTTATTTTATAACTAATGCGATTAATATTAACTTCACCAAATATCCTAAATATTTTTAATTGATTATTAAATGATATTGATGAAAAAGTCTAATAAATGTACGTACTGTCTCCTTTTTTCTGCCCATTCATCAGCGTGTTCCTGGGCAACCCTCTCTAAATGTTCTCTCGCACGCTCCGCCTTAGTGAACGCATGTAAGCGCCGCGCCACATCCACGTCTACACGTTTGAGGGTTAGGTCATCTTTGGCTCTTTCATTCTGGATATTAGAAAAGTTATTTAATTAAATATGCTATATTTATACATTACTAGCAGAACCCGCGGCTTTGCTCGTGCCAAAACTACAAAAAAAAAAAAACTTTTAAATGGTAGGTTTCATACAAACTTTCACCCCCTTATGGGATGAATTTCGAAAAATGCTAAAACATGTATTTAATTAATTGTATTGAAGCGCATTTATATATAGTTTAAAGTAATTCTGATCATAAATATTTTTTTGGATTGTATTATAACGTGTTTTCCCGTGGGAAAGAGATAATTTCCCGCGGTAAAAAGTAGCCTATGTCACTCTCCAGCCCTCCAACTATATCCACACAAAAAATCACGCCAAACCGCCAAGCCATTTCGACGCGAAAGAAAGACAAACAAACAAACACACTTTCACATTTATAAAATTAGTATGGATTTTTATAATTGAGTCAATTTTTTTTTGTATGACGGGGGAGCACATAGCATGAAAACAAAAGTTAAAAAACATTAAAAAGCTATATTTGAAATAGTTAAGCGATTTCAATACATTAAAAGCAACAAGCACAAAACGGGTAGATACCCAATTCAGAGGTACGTTTTTTCAATGATATCTTCCTCCTATCCTCTATGTCCTATATCTTAAAAAAGAAATTCTATTCACAGGAAGTAAATTACTATTTTTTTGTGATTTTGATGTCGGTGTACCTTTTTAGTTTAGCTGCTCATACATAGATAGAGGAAGGCAGTGTTAAGCTTCAGTACTAACACACTTGCGCAGAAAATCGAGCGTAACGCGTGAAGAAAAATACCATAAAGAAACCTGTATGTTTGAGAGAAACTAGTAAATTTTAAAAAGACATGTGCATTCCGCCATTCAACACTTAGCCAGCGTGGTGGTTTGTACGGTAAAAACGGCTGGACTCCCAAGTATAAGTAATACAATATTAATACACAGTATAATTCATATCGTGAATGGGTAACTTAAGCCTAATTAGATGTCAAATAAATTAAATATTTACCAAATGCTTTATCTCCATATGAATTCGACCCATAAACTGATTATACAAATACTTTCTGTATTGATTAAACTCTTTTAGTGAACAAACTGCTCTGCCGTCTTTAGTACAAAAACCTAGCAAAGTCATTCTACTTCTGGCGGGTTTTTGTGCGAAATGATGAGCCAAGTGTGGATCATGCATAGGAACGTAATCGTAAGAGACATTGTTGCAATACGGGTCGGTTAAGTCGAATGTAGGACGCGGTCCGCCTCCTAGACCCAGGCGGCGTACCTGTAAAGAATAAAATTTTTTATACATATACATATTTTTACACGTGGTTTTTACTTTTTGATAGGTAAATTATTGTTAGTTGTACTCGTATTGAATAAAAGTTTTTTATATTTTATTTATAGTATATCAACTGACGACACGTTTGACCCAGTTTGTAGTGACCCTACTTGCTGTGCCAGCGGTCGTGGGTTCAAGTCCCGCTGGGGGCAATCATTTGTGTGATTAGCACGAATGTTTGTACTCCAAACATGGGTGCTTATACATATTTTTAATATGTATGTTTTTAAAGTTATATATATATATAATATATATATATATTATATATATATATATATATATATATATATATATATTTCATCATACTTGTACATAGCTGCATAGTAAAATTATAACTTACCACCACACAATTTGACAGCTTGCAACTGCTTATTATTTGCAAAACTAAATATTAAATAACAATAAATGATTATGTATGGATATACCATATATATTTGTATATTTATTATATTAGAATAGTACCTTCATGGACATAATCATAAAATATATTGATCGTAGATCGTTACACACAAAGCTAAGAGTCAATTTGCTAAAACATACTTACATAGTCTGGTGTCAACATAATATATTTATCGTCGTCAATCAGTGGTTTAATTTATTATTAAAAATTATATAAAATTAGTGATTCGAGTAAATTATTATTAATAAATTATAATAAAAAAAACGATTAGGTATGCAAATGTGGTATATTGTTAATAGTCTTACGGTAGAATTTAAGGGGAAAAAAGAAAACTTAAATATAGTAGTTTAGTTTATGATAACTTCTGATGTCTTGCTTGTAATATATGTTTTGTATCAATAATTTTTATTGCATATTACGTATTTTATAAAATTACAACCTTGTTTAAGCACACCTAGTTTTTTTTTTTTAAATTAGAAAGCGATTAAATTTATCTATCAATTTTGTCCTTTTAAATTTCATTTTTACATAATGTAATTATTTTATTGGTTTTTCTTTTAGGATTAAAAAACCATTTGAAATTTAAACCGAGGCAACTAAGAAGCTAGGTCTAACCAAAAAGGGCATTTTATCACTGCCCAAAAAAAGAACCCATTGCTATGATTCTAAGTGTATGGTGTCTGAGAAGGATAAGGTGCCTACAAGATTTGGTCTAAAAATCTTTCTAGTAATCCTCCATGGACTAATACCTAGAAAACCACATTTGATTAGCTTGAGATAAAATTATTTTTTGCGCAATAACATGAGTTCATTATACTACCCAACCCTAGCTAACAAAATTTGACATTTAGCTTCTGACTGAACTGTGTCTAGTTACCATTAATATGTAAAACTAGCATAAACTTGTGAAATAATTAGAATAATTAATATTATAATATGAGACGGCCTGGAAAAATTCTCACTAACATAAATATAAGTATCTGGGCGACCGAGTTTTTGTTATATCGTATTTTTAGGTGATATTCTATATATTATATAACTTAAAACTAAAAACTTGGATAAATACAAAAAAAAAAAAAGTAAAAAAATTGTATCCGAACGGGATTTGAACACGGGATTTGAACACGCATTTTCCCAGACAAGACTCTAATAATAATAAATAATAATATAGATCGATTTTTCGCCTCGAAAACCACCACATACTAAGAGCCGTTTCCGAAATCGCCGGTATAAATAAATATACAAGAATTGCTCGTTTAAATATATTAGATTAGATAATACAAAACAACATATCCATCGTTATTTATGAGTTATATTTTAGAAGTACACTGGTGTAAAAATACATACCTATAGAATAGGTCCTTGTGCCAATTTTGTCATTACACATAACAAAAGTTTAAACAATAAAAAAACGTAGGGTGAGCTGAGAAGTGAAAAAATCTAGTTTTTTTAAAGATGCGATTAAATATGGAGTAAGTGACACTCTTTCAGTACCCGCGGGTCCTACATCTAGGCCGTTGCGAGTGGATACTTATCTAGTATTTATGAAGTTGCTTTTCTATTATTATTAGTATAGCGTTTGTTGATATAAAATGTTATTTTTAAGTGAAAATATACTTTGTATGTATGCATGTGGTATCCGTAAATGTATTTCCCAACATTAAAAAAAGGCTTTTAGAGGCACTTTCGAATCGCCAATTATAACATACACTAAGTTAATGCGGAAGCTATCACCAGTTCGGAAGGCAATTCTAAGAAGAACCAACGACAAATCCCAAAGTATAAAAACTTTTAGTATATATACATAGTTTATACACAATCCGCAATATAAACTAATTATCTTATACACAATATATTTTTACCTAAATATACTACTGCCACTGTATTACAGAGATGACCTTTAAACAAGCCTCTTCAGTAAAATCGATAATGAGCATGAATTAATTGATAATATTATCGATGGTCAATAATTAATTATTGTTTTGTGACTTAATTATAACAGTAATTATAAGAGACTAGCAATATTATTTTATTTCACGCTTAACCTAAGATTTAAAGTGTATTTAAAGTGCCTGGGTGAAAAGTAGTGTTACTTTTCGAGTGAAGTACCATATATAATAATAATAAAAAAATAAATATTATTGCCTTACTAATAAAGCTATTACTATTCTAAAAGCACAGTATAACCAGATTGACGCGAAAATAATCGGAAAATTCAAACGGAAGCGAGTTAAGTAACATAAAAAGCGTCGCTGAACTCGAATCCAACAATATCCGGTGATATTTTCTTTAAAAGGTGATGTAAACGTTATTATAATTTATTATTTTCCCATTATCAAAATGGCTTTTAGTCATTTTTCATTCATTTGAAATCTAATCTTTATCAAACAATATATAAGCGACAGTGTGACTGTTGATTTCTTTTTTGTTCTTCTTTTTAGGCAATGACAGAGCAATAGAGTGACGATGTATTTTTCAATAAGATACTTTTTGAAGCCGGTGACTACTTTTAATCGCTTCACACGTCCACTGGAAATTACTCTAATCTATATCTATAATAAAATTGTAACTAAGTCGAATCTGTACATTAAATATTTTTTGGAAAATCTAATTGAAATAGACATTATTATCGATACAGAGGCGGAATCTATAGTTTTTAGAATTTTTGTCTGTCTGTCTATCTCTCTGTCTGTTACCGCATCACGAGAAAACCACTGGACAGATTTTGATGAAATTTGGTATGATGATAGCTGGTTATCCGGGTCAACATATAGGACTTTATACCGCGGGAAAATATCTCATTTCTAAGAAAAAATACAAAAACTGCATTGTAAGAGTATACTAATATGTAAAACCTTAGAATTTGGTTTTTAGTTTGCGAAAAATCTATAAAATATTTTTTTTCAACCCTCTTTTCAGACTCATTACTAATAGAAACATAAATTTGTTTAAGGACGCTATTATGGATACAAAAATTAGAATATTTGAGAAATGTTAGTACATAAAAGAACAACAAGGGCGATACCGGAACTGGGTGCTAGGTATGATAGGTATATTTTCAAAGACTTCATAGGATTTGCAACCTCATTAGAAATTAAGTAAGTAGGCTAAACTCAATTACCATAGGGTTTGTTTGTATGAACTTAATATTTAACTCGAGGCTTGGATATAAGCCAAAGTTGTATGTATTCAACGTTGTGTAGCTTTAAGAGATTTATTTCCCTAGAACGTTCATAAATCCTGCAAATTAGCACATGTATGAAATTTTGTCATTACGAGTATTATAGTAGAAGAAAATGCTATTTTTTGACGATTATTTTATTAAATCTTTAAAAATATTTTAGCAAAATAACTTTGGTTTAATGAGAATAATGTGATCGTGTATCGAGTTTATAACTCACGTTTTATAAAAGTAACAGATAAATCATATAGTCAAGAAATAATTCAATTGATCTTTATCAGATAAATATTTGAGTCTTTAACCAAACACATTGTCAAATAAATTATTTTTTAACAACAACATAACAAAATACCTTTAAAAAAAGCTTTTATATCATATAAATTGTAAAATGTAATAAATGGGTTTGATTTAACTTAAAGGTTATTTTTTATTTTTTAGGTATTTATTCGTATTCTTGCTAAGCCTTTTCATTTCATATCCATATTATGGGGGAGCATAAAAAAATATAGTCCGCCATCGTTGGGAGCCGCCATGTTGGGTTTAGAATGACGTCACAAAATTTAAGCTCAATCGGTCGAGGATAACTGTTTTAAAATTCAGTTGCAATATTAGAACCTAACAAACATCTATTCAAACATTGCAAGTTAAATAAAAGCTTGTAAAAAGCAGCATATATTAGAAAATAGTAGGTGTAATAAAAAGTACATAATAAAAAAGTTAAGGATTTAATTGGCCTTTGATCATCTTTAGGTTTTTCCTGTATTCTATGTTACTCTCCACTAGTAGCTAGCAGAATACGCTGCTGCTTTGAAGTCCTGGATTCGAGTTCTGGCTCGAACTCAGGACTCGACAGGCAGTTTGTTCTCTATATAACGATAATCACAATAGCAGAACAGAGCTCTATTTGTAATACGCACTTACGCTCTGAACATAAACGTTCGTCGGTACTCTTTCACTGTTCGCTTAAGCTACTGGATTGAAAAAGAAAGTAATAGAGACTACGTATATATATATATATATATATATATATATATATATATAAACAAATGTATGTTCAAATGTTACAATTATACATAATAATAAAAACTTGGGCTCAGATTAGTGAAATTGGATGCACTGACTATAATTCGATTTGTAGGACTTTATATGTCTCATGAGATCCATAATTGATATTTTTTTTGAAATTTTGGGCTCTGTTGTTTTGGAGATGAAGTAGGGGAAAGGTCCAGTTATCGTATACTATCTTTAAACTACGTTTATTAATATTGTATACAAAAATATATTTGTCTAGAAAACGTGTAATAAGTATTTCTTTTTATTTTCTGCTTTGATTCTCATAAAAAGAATTCATTTGATAAAGTTAACCTTAGTAAAATAACCGAACTCTTTATATGTATAAAGTTTTCAACAATAACGTGTAGTAGAAAATAGGTAATGACAAACGCACTGAGAGTGTCATTTTACATATAATTTTACCATAATATATTCTAACACAAAATTTTCATGACATAAGGGATGCCTATAAATGAGTAAATCTCTCCAGTAATTGTCAATTAAGCCCTCATCAAAAGGCTTTGAGTGTGCATCAAAAGGCTTTAAATAACATACGTTAAGATCTGACTTATACAGGTTCGGCTTCCAGAAAGCTTAGACATCCGAAACTTAAATTATCCTTATAATTGGAAGGATAAAGAATAAAATAATTATAATCGTATTTGTACCTACTAATACTTTAATACTACTAATCCCATGATTAGGATTTGCGAGGAAAAGTATTATGTATTCAATCTTTATATGAATTTTATTAGCGAGTAGCGACTCACCCTCGCTTCGCTCGGGTTCGTCTCTAGGTGCGTTTTAATTTTTTTGAGCGGAACCCTAATTCTTTTTCTAAAACAAAAGTAGCCTATGTTACTCCCTATAACATCAGTTATCTTCCAGTGAAATTCCCGTCTAAATCAGTCCAGCCGTTTCAGAGATTATTCGGAACAAACAGACAGACCGGACAGAGAGATAGACAAACAGACAGACAGATAGACAAACAGACAGACAGATAGACAAAAATTTAAAGAAATGTATTTTTCTTATAAATACCGTATATAATTTCATATGCATTTAGTAAAACGCTGTTATTTTGACATTACAGACACTTCAAATTTATTTATTTGTATACATAATGATTATTTAATTTTTTTTAAATCAATATCAGATTGGTAATTGAGTCCCTTAACTTTTATGTGTAGGTATCATAACTTAAAAAATCACGTTCACGGTAAAAAAGCTGGACATATTTGGGTGAACAGATAGAAAATATACTGGAGTAATGTACCTAACTAACATTACATATTCCAGTACATTTGTGATGTAAAGTTCTCCTGACCAATTCCGGCCACGGCGGCCAATCTCATTGAGACTAGCCAACTGCGCAAGAGATATTATAGTGCACAAGTGTACGCGCAGACACAACGTGCACTCTCTATTCCTGTTATGTCACTCTCATACTCCGGTGGGACGACTACTCGGCACGACCGGCGAGAATTAAGGCGCAGGTCCGACGGCTTTACGTGTTCTCCGAAGCATGGGGGTGAAACACCGCCAACTTCCCAACTCCGGGCCGTTACTGAGGTTTACTATACAGAAAGACTCAATAACTAAACTTGGCCCGACCCGGGACTCGAACCCAGGACCTCGGGGCGTGCAGCCGTACATGCTAGCCACAACACCACCGAGGCAGTTATCCAGTACATATTCTATACCTAAGGAATTACGTTGACGCTCATTTAAATAAATTATGGTGGCCAAATAAATATTTATTTAAATTACTTTTGTAAATCGTGAAACTAAAACAAAAAAAAAAAGTACGTGTGTGTGCAATTCACACATGGTAGATGTGAAAATTAATATTATACATATATTTGTCAGGCTATAACAACGGTTACCATGGCAACATGGCAATGTATTCTATCTCATTCTCTCTTATATATTTATGTGTTTATCTCTTTTTAGCGTCGCATTACCGTTTCATTTCCATTTCATCGAGTGTCAAATCACAATTCAAAACGATTCTAAAGAAGTTTCACTTCAAAAATATGAAGCATTCCTGAGCTTCCTTTAAGCTATTACTGTTACGATATAACTGCTCGTCCCAGGCGCAGTTCTTTAACTATGTGACAATAATATCCGTCGACTAAGTGGCGATATGAGATCTCTTCGGGTACAAACATACACATAAATTATAAATTATGATATTTTTTTTGTATTACTTTGTTTTGTGCGCTGCTATTAATTCTAATCCTAAATAGAATTTTCTTGTTTTATTGGATTGACTATTTAAATATTATTATCTAATTTAATCTAATTATATGTTTGATAATGTAATTTTTTTATATTTATATTGTCATATTAATTAATTTTATAATTTAATTTCAACTTTATTTATTAACTTATTATTATTATTTAATTTTAAATTTGCATCTTGTAATTAAATGTCATCGGCGGGATTTAAAAAAAAGAGCATGTTGTGATAACCTATAACTAAGAGAACATTTATGAAATTGTTAGTACATGAATATCATACCGTTTTTAATATATCTTTTGTTGGTTGTCCTTTAATAAATAAATAAATATTTCAACATAAACTATTTAATGTATTTGTTGTTTTACTTGTTACTTAACCGTATCACAATCTCTTACTAATCCTAAGGTAATGCTTTTATATCCCTCATATTTTATTTCGTATTATTTCAGCGTTAAAAAAATGATAGAGTTTCCGTCCCAATGGATTAAACAAGCCGTTTAAGGAAAAGTATTTTTACAGAATTGGTATTTTTTCGTCTTACGACTGTACAATTACATACGATTCAAACGAAATGTTTATCCCAAAAAAACACAAGAGGGTATTATTTGTAAACCTTCAGATATTGAGCAAACTTTCCATATTAATTTTAAATAATATGTTAAACTTTTTCAAACTAAAGCAATTGAAAATTGATTAAGGGCTGAGTTTTAATTAGATTTCTATTGTGTAAAATATGCAAATATTTTAATGATAATATATCTAAGTATGTAAACTAAATAATTGGTCAAAAATGTTTTAACCTCACTTTGTAATCGTTCATTCTAAATTAGTATTTAAAGGAACTTATCTATATTATAATATGCAAGAATACAAAATAACTGAAAAACAAACAAAAATCTTTAATAGTCCATCCTTCTTCCATACATTATTAAAAAATAAAAATAAAAACAAATATTTATCCAAGTAATGAAACAAACACTGCAATAAAAATATATTAATCTCGATAAGGCAAGACCAATTCCCCGTAATATTTATTTAGGCCGTGTGAAATCTATTTCGGTTTCGATTGGATACCTACAATACGAATAATCACATTGGATCAAAACGAGGTACATACATATGTATATATATTATATATACTTTGCTACGTCAATCAATGGCTGTCGCGATAATTCTGTGGCCGTACCTACTCGATATGTGCTTCAATAATAACACCTCCAGGTAAATGTCTAAGAAATTAATTAAAATTCTAAGAAATCTATTGTTAACTGACACGCCGGCGTGTCTGCGGTCGTGGATGGAATAATCATAGTGGATTATACCTATATGGTAGCTTTAATCGACCATTTTAGTTTCATTACATGGTAAATAACACACTGACAGTGAAGACCTAGATTTACTTATTGTTATTTAAAACATAATTTACTAGCGTTGCCCGCGGCTCCGCCCGCGTTCAGACCAAAAACCAAATTCTTAGGTTTTACATAATAGTATACTATTACATTGCAATTTTTGATTTTTTTTTAAGAAATGAGACACTTTCCCGCGGTAAAAAATATCCTATATGTTGACCCGGATAACCAGCTATCACCATACCAAATTTCATCAAAACTCCTCTAGTGGTTTTTCTGTGATGCGGTAGCAGACAGACAGACAGACAGACAAAAATTCTAAAAACTATAGATTCGGCCTCTGTATCGATAATATTTATTTCAATAAGATTTTCCAAAAAATATTTAATGTACAGATTCGGCTTAGTTACAATTTCATTATATGTACACACGTTGAATACATATATGTGTTAAATTAAATTTTAAATATGTACTCGTGTAAATAAAACGAATTTTCTTCGAAACCGATTGTATGTACTACCGCAGTATATATGTGAGACGTACATTGTTTTCAACTATGAAATCAAAGAATCACGATTTATAAACAATATTCCAACTTACATCTTCCCCGATTTTTCCGCGCGAAAACACAATCTTTCCCTCCGGCATTTTCGGCACTGGCAATTTACATTCGAGCCCAAGTCTGTACCAGAGTGGCAATCCATTTTTTGGGACGGCTCGTGAGGGTTTAGGTATAGAATCAATCACTTTCTTCAATTCCGTAGGTTTTCTAAGCGTTAGCAATGTTATGTCCACGTCTGATAAGTCATCAAGCTCTACTTCAGAGGTTTTCCCTGACATGATGATGTTAAATTATTAAATATATATAAGTAACAGCGAAAGCTTCCAAAGCGTTCCGAAAAATACACAAAAATTTGACATATTTGACATATGCTTGTTTCCTTGAAAGTTATTACTTTTTTAATAAATTTATATGCAACCAATATTTTTTGGTTCATTATATGGACCCTAATGAGGCATTAGTGTGAATGATTATGCTGAATTACAAGGCCTTAGGTATTGTAAAAATGGTGACAAACTCAGCTCTGATCACTTTAACAGTTTAAATTTTACATGTAATAATACAATTTGATGTTGGAGGAAATTAACTAAAAATCAAGTTTTTTCCATGAATAAAATAAAAACAAGAAAATAGCTACTAGCAGGCATGTAACAGCACTTTATGTAGTGAAAGAGTATTAACAATTTATTTTTATAATTTGGAAGGATCCGTAAGCTTTGCATGTCATAGAAAAATATATAATTCATAACTCGTACCAAGAAGATTCTAAAGAATCTTCTTGGTACGAGTTATGAATTATATATTAAACTTGCATAACATTTTTATTTATGATCCGATTGAAATAAAAAACTCAAAAAAAAAACCGACTTCCAGGCACTAAAATGTAAAAAATTACTAAACTTTGGTTTTCATTTAGAATAGATACCTCATCAGATATTTTCGAAGTCGGTGCCAGCCGATGCAAAGCAAATCTAATATATTTTGATACGTAAAATACATATTTACCTATTACTTATACATATCTTAAAATATTGACAGCTGGCACCGACTTAGTACATACGTATCCACGTATATACTGTAATTTGCTATTTTGCTCATACGAAACTAAATTTTAAGATCATTATTTCATGACTATATGTAAAACATTCCAAATATAATTAGTTACTGTCTACAATTTGCATTATCACAATAAAAAAATATATTTAAGCATGAATACAGATTGTGCGATTCAACAAATCCCAAACGATGCAAGAACAGAAAATGTCTCGCACATCCACTTTAATTCTACTCATTTGATGTGTGAAATAAATGGTTTTGCACGACATCATTTTCCTTATCCAGTAGCGACATTTTTGTGGAATTTATCTAAGCGACACTATAATGACGAGGATTCAGTATCAAATGGTTTAAGCTGAAAAGGATTCGGAAAATTGATTTAAAGATATATTTTATGCATATTAGTATATCGAATATGATTTGTTAGCATATTTGCTAGCATTAGAACTCATTGAAGAACATTAATACCAAGTTTCTAGTAATTCTGATCATAATTATTTTTTGGGTTGTCGTATAACCTATTTTCCCGTGGGAATTAGATAATCTCCCGCGGTAAAAAGTACCTTATGTCACTCTCCAGCCCTCCAACTATCTCCACACAAAAATTCACGCCAATCCGTCTTTCCGTTTCGACGTGAAAGAAGGACAAACAAACAAACAAAAAAAGAAACAAACACACTTTTGCATTTATAATATTAAGTATAGTATGGATGTATATTAGTAATAATAAGACTATTCGAAAACATTACCATTGTAAACGAATAATAAACCAATGAAACGTAAATTGCGACGCTTTTTTTATTTTTAAAGTTTTATTATCGGTATTCTTGGTTGTATAACATTAGCTAGGCTTGGGCACGTGAGGTTGTCACGATTGCGGAGTTGCGGTCGATGCCCTTTGTTAAAAGTTATTGTTTTAGGTTTTCTTCGTTTGTAAATTCTCGTGTTAACTGTTTGTAAAACTTACTTAGCATACAGGGGGTTCGATTCTTGTGAAATGGCAACAATCTTTTTTGATTTTATATTAGACTCACTTTATCCGGTTAAAATAAAGGTATCTTATAAGAGTAATGAGCAGTACTCAAAAGTCTTATCTTACTACTATATACATATGAATGTTTGGTTGGATAATGTTTGTTACTCAATTACGCCAGAACGGTTGAACGGATCTGGATGAAATTTGGCACAGCGATAGATTATAATCTGGAATAGCACTTAGGCTACTTTTTATTCTGGAAAATTTCCCGTGGCATAGATTTGTTTACGTTTTTCACTAGGAACGAACCCGAGCAAAGCGAGAGTGAGCCTCTAGTAGGTGAAATATAAAGAAGGTGGAGAGATGTGATGGATGGATATTGTAAATTAAATTATTATTAAATCATATTGTATTTTTACTAGCGTTCTTTCAAAGCTCCACCCGCATCTTTTAATTATGTAGAATTATCTCGCTTTCGTATCTCTTAGTGTGATAGCCTTATAAAATAGCCTGATTTGATAGATGATCTTTAAAATTAAGAAGGGTATTAATATGCTTCTAACATCGTAAGCATTGCGCTTCATCTCATTCTCTACTTTAACTTTTGAAAAAATTGAGATAGGAGAGCTCTAAAAATACTTTTAACGAAAATTAATTTGAAGAAAATATCTTCATATAGTAGTTTTTGAGATATGGGATATTTTCGGTACAACATGTTTGGTGGCAAAATAACTTATAAAACGCACTTGCTCGATTTTAAGCTATAAGATATTCTTATAATTAAAACATATTACTTATTAAGGAATACACATAAATTCATATCTTATCATCTTCTCTTCTTCTTCTTCCGAGGTTAAATTTCTATATACTAAAGTATGGACTAAAATAGATGATTGCAAGAAACGATTGTTTATTTTTTTTACTAGTTATTTGATAAAATGACTGAAAAGTAACATAGATTATTGCAAGAAATGATTGTTTTTTTTTACGAGTCATTTGATAAAATTACTGAAAAGTAACTTATATAAAAATATGATAGTTATTCAGTAAATTAATGAATACATAAATGTTTTGAATATTTTAAAACCCTAGTTTAAATGGTTCTTAGCGTGTTTCACGAATTCCTTAATTAAAGTCATTATTTAAAGTGTAATTAATCTATTTTAAATGTAAATTATATTGGATATTAGGTTATTTACAACTCTGTGCTAAAGCTTAAAATGGATTGTCCTATTAAGGTTTCTCTGAGCATTTTCTTTACAAACAAGAGATCGACATGATTTTGACTTGGCAAAGGTTAGTTTTTTTTATTTGCCAGTAAGTATTTTTAACTTGGTTTAGAAAATAGTTGGGATACGGTAAAAGGACTGTATAGGAAGGAATTTAGCGTGATTAGAGGCACATCACTAGTGTGACATATTTTTTGCTCATTTGAATTTGTTTTTAAGTCATTTCCCTTGTGTTCTTGCTTAGAAATACGCTTATTAAGACATGAGTATTATTCCGATTCCGTGATCTGTAAAAAAAAAACGAAATTACGAAACGTCTTAACGGATAATAAAAATATTTAAACTATACAGAAATCGAATTGGAAATGTTCGACCTAGTAAGTAATACCAGTAAGATTTCGATAGCAGTATTTTATATTTATCATTGAACTTGAGTTTTCGATACGAAGCGACTCGTTTAAAAATAATGACGAGAATTCAGTCACAAATATGAAATGGTTGAGACAAGCAGGAAGGAGAAAAAGAAAAATAGATTTTCAGACATCATCTTTTCATTTTGTCAAAATTAGAATGGTCTATATCCATACTAATATGTCTACATCCATACTAATATTATAATAAGCTTTGGGCCTCTGTTTGCATATTTAAGATCCTTTTGTACAGTTCAGTTACAGATAAGTTCTCTCAAGACCAATGACTAATATAAGTAAATAATAATATAATGGTTCTGAATGAAAATTGAATCTGTAACCCCTGAAAGATGTTGAGAATAAAAACTACATATAATACAATTATGATTAGTTCAAGCTTCGTTCTGCATTATTAAAATCCAATTCCATCCAACCAAAGGACAAGCGTTGTTTTTTTATTTTTGTATGTGTTACTTATAGTATATTCAACTATTTTAATAGAACTTTTGCTGTAATAATTAGTAATATTTTGAAATTTTTCCAGAAAATCTTATTACATATATTATATGTAAATTGAGCTCCGTGATCAACAGTGTAGGTACCATAATATAAAGTTAGTTAAAGGAGAGTGAAAAGAAGATAGTAAAAATACCTAAGTATAAAAGATAATAAATATTTAATGTTTACTTACATATTAATAAATGTAAAATCATCTGTTATCCCAAACTGGTAAACCTTGCCAAGAATTTGTACGGTAATGGATACGGGAAGCGTGATACGATAAAGCTTTTCAAATGCAGGTTGAGAAACGTTTTATGGTATCTGTGTATACTCGTATTGCAATTAAAAAAAGCCACTTTATTTTAAAATACTATTTATTATATTAGATATGTACGACATTCAATAGTAGTAAAATATTTTCAAGAAATAATTTTATATATAGTTAAAATTGGACAAGTACGAATCTGACTCGCACACCGAGGGTTCCCTATTCCGTAGCATGAAACATTAAATAGTTTTAAATAAAACAATCTTTTCGGATTTTTTCGCGGATTTATTATTTTAACAAAATTTTGTTATTTGTGGGTAGGCTGTCTGTAACAACTATACCTTCGAGACATCTAACACCTCAGTCTCTCCCGTGACCATGAATGCTGTAAAGCATTCGAAACGTTGGGAACCAAAAATCCTAATAAATCCGCAAAAAAATCCGAAAAGATAGTTTTATTTAAAATGTCAAATATTCGCGTAAATCTAAGAAAGTATTACATTAAAATAGGTTTAAAATTTATGATGTAGTTACAAATTTATGGTTTTCGGTAATAAAACATTACTTCTCGTCAAATTTCATGATTATAAATCAACGGAAAGTACCCTGTAAGTTTTTATTCCCTTGTGTGTGTCAAAATATGCGGCATAAATCATCATTTTTTTTAATTGCGTTGACTTAGATGTTTCATTTTTTACAGCTTCAAGGCATTGTAGACTCGAGTATTAGATATTAATTTTAACTTAATACCTTTACACCTTCCTGAGAAAAGTAGTTTTGACAGACAGATAGATGGATAACGAAGTGATTTTATATAAAAAAGGGTTCCTTTTCTCTTTTGAGTTATCGAACCCTAAATATGATAGACTATATAGAATTCATAGTAGAAAAACGTATTAATCGTTTTTTTTCTAAAAAATCGACATTTAAAAACCACAATTAAATATTTACCTTTCACTATTCCCGCGCTTGTAAATTAAATTTATTATATATACCTACTTGAAGTAGCAAGATAAACATGGCATAAAGTATATGTGTTGCTAGACCAATGTAAAGATATGTATATGCGAAACCGCAACATAATGATATTGAAGACAACACTCAAAGGTTGTTGTGGCTTTCTTACAATCATATGATATTATAGATCATCTTCAGTATTATGAAATATTCTATAATTATATTTATACCAATTGATACATTGTACATATGATAATTAAGGGGTTCCGTATAGAAAATGAAAAATCGACCTTATATAGCATCACGTATCTGTGTGTAGTATTCAGCCTTTCTTAACAATCCACTACTGGGCACAAGCCTACCTTCAGTATGAATCAGATCATGATCAGGTCATAGTGCAATACGCTGACCAAGTGTAGTTTGGCGGACTTCACATGTCTTTCAAAAACTTGCTAGTTTTTTTCAGACATGCAGGTGTCTTCTCGATATTTTCCTTCACCATAAGTCGGATGTAAATCATGTTGAAAAAATGACTCGCATTTGAAAATATCAATGTTACAAAAAAGTCCCAGTAAACGCTCAGAGTTGGGAAGTTGGCGATGTTTCACCCGTGGGCCTCGGAGGGCATCTTTCGGAATTTGAGAGTAAAAGGAATAGAGAATGCATTTCATTGCCCGCTTACAAGTATAAGCGGAGAATGTGTGCACTATAATGTCTCCTGTGTAGTTGACTAGTTATGTTACTAGTTGACTAGTTATGTTACTAGTTGACTAGTTATGTTGCTAGTTGACTAGTTATGTTACTAGTTGACTCATTGAGATTAGCCACTCTGTTTATAATCGACATGTCAGAAGGACATCCATTATTGAGGACTTGACCACACTTTTTACTTAGAACGTATTGGCTTCCTTATTTTATTAGAATAGGAACGAAAACCTAACAATATAGTAAATATTGTTAGTTTTTTATTATGTCCCTATGTGTATTTGCTATTTAATAAGTTTTTCTATTTTTAATATCAATAATACCTACAGAAAAACGGGTAGAGAATAATTTAGTAAAAAGGCTGAGCTGAGAGGACCATTCATCATTTTATAGAATATAAGTACGATCACATTCCTCGTGGTTTTCGTATAAAATAATATGCGGAAATTTAGGACACTTTTTTCTTGCGGTTTTTTAAACTTATATGAGGACCGTCCTCGAAAAAATGTTTTCAAATAAAAGAATCGCTCGTGGCACGCCGGGTCTCCCTTGGATTAGGGGCCCCATGCGACCACATTTGTTTCGTTGGTATAGAGTTTTAAAATATTAAATAATATAGATAAACAACGCTCCAAAACTTTAAAAAACATAGATATATATATATATATATATAAACATTGTTGTAGATAAACTGAAAGAGTTTACCTATAACAATGTTTATACTCGTATTTCCTTCATCGTAAATTTTACTTCTGTAATCTGTGTTGATTATTTATAACATATCTTCTTGTAAAAATCTAAAGCTGTCATGTTTTATTTACTTTTTGAATCTTTATATTAAATGACTAAATTAATGAATTTGAAGCTTGCACGATACAAGCCAATTTTACAGATTTTTGAAATTTTTTGTCTGTCTATCTATTCTTATATCTATTTCTTCACTTATAATATAATAGAATGGTCTCTTAAAAATAAAAAAAAATCCACTCCTAGGGCAACGTTTAATTTTAGTAGTAGGTAAGAGTACTTCGCACAGTTACTAAGAGTTAAAAAATATGGCAACGTTTCATTTGTCAGTGGAGCAGTCGCAAAGATATAAATTAATCTCATCTTTCTGCTTGCATATTATACGTATATAGCGCCTAGCTGAGCGCATGTTATATATTATGTATGTAGGAGTAGAATGGCAAATTATATTAAAGCTGTTATTGCGTAGTACCTACATTAGAGAAAAAGAAATTAGAGTATAGCTTACACGAAATTGATGGAGAAAGAAAACTATAATTTTTCATTAAGTACATACAATAATTGTGTTTTATAAGTTTTTTAAAAATTTTCATCTAATTTTAAACCAAATTAAAATATAACTGTTAATATTTTTAATCACGATACTTACAATTCTGAAATGGTTTTCTGTTAAATTATACATAAGCTTTTCCAAATCAAACAAGGATCAATATATCGAACATACGACCAGTTTGTAGGTGGTTCTAATTAGGAGCAATCTACTATATCACGAAAGTTTTTTATATTATACATTTTAAGGTCTTATAAGGAATGTGAGTCATACTATTTAATGTTCTCCATTAACCTTCATGAAGTTCAGTGTAGAGGTCAAGGAGAAGGAGTTGCAATGCGAAACCTACTTGACTATAGCTTATATTTAACAGCTTTCGTTAGACACGATATTTGTGGGGTATAGTGTTTCTTTGCTTTTATCATATTAGTCCACGGTTTCTCTAAGTGAGGTCGAGAAGTTCAAAGTTGCCAATTAATCGTATAGTATATATAAGAATTATCTATTTTTCAGAATTATTATTTTTTCTTCTCATTCTATATAAGTCAAAACCACGATTCTATATAACAAGCAAAGAAAATCTACTTAGAGAAACCAATGTAAATATAAGGTGAGTGGTTTAAAATCTTCTAAGAAAATTAATGAGGGCGTGTAGGGTGTTTAGTTTGGAGAACTCTGTATAGAGCTATTATTTTGTACTAATTTTGACACATTAGACTCTGAATCTGTTGAATTCTATCTCATAGTTACTCATTTAAAATTATTATATTCAATTTTGAGTTTTCTTTGATATGTTATTAAATTAAATTTGCTCTTTTAGGTAGGTATATACTTTATAGTATGTTTCAAGAATCATTTGAAATACCGTAAAAAAAGTTAAGGCATTTGTTCTCTTGTTGTTCGAAACATACATATATCATTGTAATATAACAAAAATTTATTGTATAGCGAATTATATTATTGTTAATATTTATAGCACTATTGTTTTTATCCTTGAACGATGATTTACAATTTGTTGTAGATGTTGCATACGATTGTTGTTTGCTAGCAAGTAGTTAAATAGAAATTATTTTAGCGATACTAAAGATGTATTTAAGAAAGTACTTAGTATTGTATGGTCTTAGTACTTGCTTAAATAATTATTGATATTTTAAATAAAACTATCTTTTTGGATTTTTTCGCGGATTAATTTTGATTTTTGGTTCCCGACGTTTCGAATGCTTTCAGCAGTTATGGTCACGGGAGAGACTAAGGTTTTAGAAGTTTAGTTGTGAAAGATTCACACCAGAACGGCTGAACGGATCGGGATGAAATTTGGCACAGAGATTGATTATAGTCTGGAATAACACGTAGGCTATATTTTATCCCGGAAAAATATACGGTTCTCGTGGGATAGGTTTGTTTTTCTTTTCCAAAAGGCGAACTCGAGCGAAGCGAGAGTGAGTCGCTAGTATTATATATATGAAAATAATTTATTCCTAATAAATAAATAATTCATGATAGGTTCCGTTGTATTTTTTATACTTATGGAGTATAATTAGCTAAAATATTTATTAAACATATTAATAAAATTACTATCGAAATATTTTTTTATAAAAATGGTAAAATATATAAATTCTTTAATCTTTAATTTAACTTTGCATTAATTTAAACAGTAAATAGTAAATAAGTTTGAGGAAATAATTTCATAAAATAATATAAAGTCCGTAAAGTAAGATAAATTATATAAAATAATCATGAGATGAGAAACACAAACGATTTATTATTATTATTTATTATAAAAAAAATATTATAAATAAATATTTTCTTATATAGTTAAATTATTAACATTTTGAAAAAAAAAATCTTCGCATTATCTGAGCCCTGTAAATATTTACATATGCACAAAGAAAATAAAGTAGGTCGATCAAAACAATGTAAAGTTGACAAGTAAGTATTCCATATGTTCGGACGCTAGCCGCTCCTGCACACGGTGTCTGTACGTGTACGGTGTAGCAACATGTTGGCGTACAGTCGTACTGAACGGTGAGTGCGCAGAGAGGCGGCGCGGCTCGCGTGCTCGCATCAGACAAGTCCGGGCCGTCGCGCGCTCCTCGCGTCTCCTCGACTCTCCTGCCGACTGAAACTCGCGCAAACATTACTGAAAAATACGAAACAACTTCCCGCCGACACTGTGTATGTACAGTAATAGCCACTATGCACTATTATTAAGCCAAATTCCACGAATCGCCGAGTAGTGAATCTCATGTAAACAAACATTCGATCGACAATCGATTGATAAAATCTTTTAAGGTTAAGTTTGTTGAACTTTTTTTCGCGGTACGCGGCTTCATAGTGACGTAAGGAGTGCAACTAACCAGATTAGATACGTTAAGCCTGCTGTAATCATATAGGCCCAGTTAAAGGACGCGAAATGTAAATAACGAAGACTCATTCATTCAGGCAAGGTCTGTACATCGATTGGATTGCGTTATCAGCGATCGTGTCGTGCTAAATCATGTTCCATGTAGAGTTTGTTTATTAAATTTTTGTTTTGTGTTTATGTTTAAACATTTGCATTTAACTCAAGGTGATAATATAAATAACAATGAATAATAATTGTTATATATACTACTTATAGAGACCAGCTGGTGTTACGATAACGAATTCTGAACTGGTTTCATATTCAATCATTTGAAGCAGCATTCCAAGTGATAAGTCACAATTTAATGTAATTTATTTATTCCATTCCTAGTTGACCGTGTGACGGCGGATCAGTTACAAAGAAATCAATTTCTTGCTATATTCTCGTATATACGTTACAAATTATTTTAAATATTTATGTATTCTAATGAATATAATACGTGTTTTGATATTATCTGGCGCTTAGGTGTTGATAGTTATAATGAACAACAGCGGAAATACTTATTAGGACAAATAAAAAAGTGAGGTCGGAACGATGACCCACAGTTTGATGGTTTAGTGTTTAATATTTGTTAGTATAATATCCAAAATTATTTTTTATTTATAAATAGATGCAAACGTTTTGCATAAAATTTAACTTTATTTTTCAGACGTTTAGAGTAAAAATAATATAGGAAAAAGTAAAAATTAAATAGTAAAACAATAAATTTAATAAAAAAATAATTAAAAATATAAATATTATTCTTAGTACCTCTTGTTCTTGTATGTAAAAAAATCACGTCTATTAGTTGCTTAGTATATTAAAAAAAATATATTTTAATGATAATAGGTATATTGTATTGGCGATCAAGTGAGTAGTGATAATAATTAGCTTTGAATTAAAACTTAAAGAGGTTTATTTGTTTATATTTTTATTTTATTCAGTTCATACTTTGTTTCTATTAAGTTAATGTCAGCTATGGAAGTTTAAAAACTTACTGTTGCCTTATTAAACATTTTTTAAAATAAAAGGGTTTATATATTATTATTAAAATTATATATTTACGTTAAACATTATAATTTTATTAAAAATATACCTATATTATTAATAAAATTTTAATGTTTAACGTAATTTTATATTGGTATATGTAACATAATTTCGAAGCGTTTATTTCAGCAGTTGATACTATAAAGGCATATAAAATTAATTAGTTTCGACTTAACGATAAAAAAACATTAAATAAAATACATTACTGTACATTGTTATCCAAACTTTTTTTTCTGTACGTAAAAAAAAATGCTTATCACTAATTTAGAGATAAATAAATATTTGTTTTGCTCAATGAATATTTAAACTGAGTGTTCGTATAATACTTTTAATTTTAACTTTATAAATTACACATAGAACAATTATATGGCTTAAATAATTAATACTATATTTTATTTTTCTTTATGGTTATAAATATAATAATGGCAACACTAAATATAGATTACTAATTAATATTTTAAAATTGTAATAATTATAATAATAGCAGCAAAATTAAATAAATAATATTCCACATTCAATTATAAAACTAATTAAAATTATAAAAATGTTTAAAGTTAAAAAATATTGTAAGGTAATTGGTGAAATTTTCATTTTGATACTTGTTGGTAGGCTGTCTGTAACAACTATACCTTCGAGACATGTAACACCAGTCTCTCCCGTGACCATGAATGCTGTAGAGCATTCGAAACGTCGGTAACCAAAAATCCAAATAAATCCGCGAAAAAATCCGAAAAGATTGTTTTATTTAAAACTGAGTGTTCGTGTTATGTTTTTTATTAAATCTTAAAAATAAAGTTTTAAAATTATCTCATGTTTGTTAATAAGTCGGTCAAGTGCGGTAGGATTGACATACGGACACACAGTAGGCTTAGTATAGTAGCCATAATGAATAGGTTTAAATAACATTGTTGCTCTATAAAGAATAGACTTATAATTAAAGCATATACAAATAATAAAACTTTACTATAATATGATGCGCAACACGATACGAGTATTTATAAATGTAGGCATTGAAATGTTACGATGTGTCAACTTTATATCTTAGGTCAATCAACCACTGAATACAATTTACGTAATATTTTTTATCTAATAAAAAAAACAATGTAGAGTTTTTATAAATAACTGTAGTATTAATAATATTATTGTGTTTTTTTTGTAGACTATAAACTATTACAGTAAATACTGGATTGATTTCGCCAACTTCTCTTGAGAGCTATGAAGCCAAAGATAGAAAAGCCCAGATAAGCATAAAACTTATAATAACATATCTCTCACGGGTCAGGGTTTAATTATACAAAAAATGTTATATACAACTAATAACAATAGGTACTATGGTCTATGTCTTGACTACGTATGTTTTTTAGATAGATAATTATTGATTACTATTATATTTTGCTTTTAATTTTGCTTTCCCATACAAACTTTCACCCCATTTTCACCCCCTTAAGGGATGATTTCCGGGATAAAAACTCTTACTATGTGCTTCCCAGGGTTTTAAACTATCTTCTAAATTTACATGGATAACGCTGTCTAATAACTATTTATATCTATTTAAAATATACCTAGCAACGAACCCGAGCAAAGCAAGGGTGAGCCGCTAGTATTATATAAAAAAATATACCTAAGTAAAAATCATATATAATAACTTAATATATACATACATATGTGCATATATGTATTGGTGTGTCACAGGCCTAAATTGTATCCATTTATCGAGCTAAGTGGGCAGATGCAAGCTGAATAGCATTAGGAGATAGTCAACGCGACCAAGAATTAATAATCGATTATATGCTTGTATACAAGTTCCTATAGTTAGTCACATGTAGTTTAACAGAGTAGGGTGAAAATAGGGCGTTTAATGGACATTTTATGGGGAATGGATGAGGGGATTGTTACAAAGCTTTTTACTTGAAGTTTAGTTTTCATTTTGTGTTGCGAATTAGATTCACTTATAAAAAAGTTTGTAAGAAGTATGAATAAACGTTTATATAAATACTAGCAACTCACCCTCACTCCGCTCGGGTTTATCCTTAGTTACGTTTTAACGTTTAGGATATATTTTTCAGAGATGACATATTATATCCTATATGTTGATCCGAATAACCAGCTATTGTCATACCAAATTTCATCAAAATCTGTCCAGTGGTTTTCTCGTGATGCGTTTCCAGACAGACAGACAAAAATTTTGAAAACTATAGATTCGGCCTCTGTATCGATAATAACGACTATTTCAATAAGATTTTCCAAAAATTTTTTTATGTCAGATACGGCTTAGTTAGAATTTTGTTATATTATGTATACATAATGGAATAGAGTATCTTTATGGTTACATGTTACAAACACATAAGCATAGTTATGAATCTAGTTGACAATTTACTCCATGGTTCGGGCAATATTTAGATATAAAATAAATAAAAAAAATTAATAAGATTAGCATTTTTGTTCAAAAACCAAGGCAGAAATAATAACTGAAAAAGTAACGAGAATGCCATATGATCAATTTTTAAAATATATAAAAAATAAGGCATCTAACGCAATAGTATTAGGTACCGTATAAGTTTTCTAATTGCGTTTAAATACATGCAGAATGTAGAGATTTAACGAAACGTTTTTAACTAAGTTGTAGAGTCACGCGCAAGTGTAACTCTATATATTATATACTCTGTATTTAAGAGGAAAAAGGCACTTTATTATATATATTTATGTAATAATACTATTAGCATAGTTAAAATAGTACTAAAAGTATAATTAGCCTATACTAAAGATGATAAAACTTGTGGTAAATACGAAAATTGATGGTTGTGTTGGTCTTCAAACTGACCTCTGTACCGTTTGACCAAAGTACAGGTTCGATTCTAGGTCTACCTACATAACTCAAATTGTTATATAAGATATATTTGTCGTGATTTATGTTTTTGCTGGTATCTAATGTAAGTTGACGGATATCCCAAAACAAATTAAAGTATAAACCAATACGAGCTTTTAAATGCGTTTTGTTTACTATTATGCTTATTTAATATTATAATTATGTGAAAGTTTAACAGTTTGACCTAATGTCATATATCAATGACAATGTTGTAACAAATTGACGTTATTAGTATAGACTAGGTTTTGGAGTCGGACTCGGAGAGTCAAATATGATACTTTTTCATTTATATTCGGTATAATTTTATATTAAGTGGTTCCCTTGAGATAGAGTTAATATTCATTAAAGGGACGTAAAAGTTGCTCAGAAGTATCCATAGTTTTCTATACATATAATAAAATTGTAACTAAGTCGAATACAGATTGCACGGAACTGTAAGAGTATACTAATATGTAATACCTAAGAATTTGGTTTTTGGTCATCTGAACGCGGGCGGAGCCGCGGCAAATGCTAGTAAATTATAATTGCAAATTACTGTAACTAAATAGGTGCTTTTGTGAATAATCGATATTATAGGCAATAAAATTTGTTATTTTCACATTTATTACGATACTATACAATGAATCATTCATAAACAAAATTGCGATAATTCAGTACGGTACTAACATAATCGCTTTTTTCTTTTTAATATTTTTTCCTTCAGCATTTATTGGATAGAATGAGTATTTGTATTGTAATCATACTTTAATATTTTTCTAGGTTTTATTTAATACTAGTATTGCCCGCGACTCCGCCCGCGTTGAGATGACAAAAACCAAATTTTTAGGTTTTACAGATTACTA